AATTATCCAAAGTCATAGCTGAATTGTTTAAAGCCCAGCAGTTGAGTCAAGCTGAGTTAGTCAAATCCCAGCAGTTGAGTCTGCAACAACAAAGTGAACAGTTTGCCTTATTAAGTGAACAGCAATTAGCACAGCAGAATTATCAAGAAAGGCAAGAGGAGTTGAGTCAGCAACGTCAAAGGGAACAGGAAGAAATGTATGTCAAGGTTTTGGAAATTCAAAAGTTAACATTGGAGAAATTAAACAACAATCAGGCAAATGAAAGTAACTCTTCATATTCTAATAACATCATATTTAATTCGTTGGAAACTTTCAACTATGTGCCAGACGAAGGAAAAACGTTTGAAGCGTACTTTAAACGATATGAAGATATTTTCCACACAGACTGTGAAAACTGGTCGAATTCAAGAAAAGTCAGTCTATTACTAAGAAAGCTAGGTACAGCGGAACATAGCAAATTTGTAGATTTTATACTACCGAGAAGAACAAATGAATTGGAATTCTCGGAAACAGTGAAATTGCTAAAGGAGTTGTTTGGAGCAAATATGTCGCTTTGGCATAAGCGATGGTTATGCATGAATGTCGCTAAATCCGAAGATCAGGATTACTTAACTTATGCATCGATAGTGAATAGACATTGTGACAATTTCAGATTGGCAGAGATTACGGTTGAAGAATTCAAGTGTTTAATTTTTGCTCAAGGACTGGTATCCAGTAAGAGTGCCGAAATAAGACGTAGAGTTTTGTCTAAACTCGAATCTGAACAAAACCTTACCCTGCAAAAGTTAGCAGAGGAGTGTCAGCGGGCCGTAAGTTTAAAGAAAGAGTCTCAAAAAATTGAAGAAGCTGGTATTGCTTATATTAAAAAAGTGAAGAAACAGTCAAATTACCCATCAGAAAAAAATTGGATTAAAAATTCGGCGTATTTTAAAAATAGACAAGAAAAATTAAATGAAAAGAATGAGGAGGGAAAAAAAAATGGTTCCGCCATTTAATTGTAGACGGTGCAACGGAAGACACTGGGAGGTAAATTGCCCATATAGAAATAAAAAATGTTTCGTGTGCCACAAGAATGGTCACAAAGGGTCGTGTTGTAAAACGAAAAAAGTCAATAGCCGAATTAGACAAACAAATTCAAATATCAAATCAGATAGAGATTTGAGGAAGTATGTGACGACTGAAATATTTAAAAAGAATATCAAATTTCAACTCGATTCGGGTTCAGATTTAACAATAATGAACTATAAAACATGGAAAATTTTAAAAAGGCCTACAATAATGAAGTCAACGAAACGCGCTCGAACAGTGACTGGAAAGGAAATTAAATTCGAAGGCGAGGTTGTACTTCCCATGAAATTGAACGGGATAGTTAAAAAATAAAAGTTTTCATTCTGAAAATGGAGAAAACTTGATGGGTACAGATTTTATTGAAACATTCGAATTGTGGGATAAACCGTTAAACTCTTTTCTGCAGAAAAGTAGAAAGTAATACGCAAACAAGACAGGACATTAATGAGGAATTAAAGAAAAAGTTTCCGGAAACTTTCACACCTGGTCTTGGAAGATGTAACAAGTTTGAAGCCAAATTCGAATTAAAGGAAAATACTATGCCAATTTTTAAAAAGAAACGTAATGTGCTTTTCGCAAGTGTAGAGAAAATTAACGAAGAACTTGATAGGTTGGAAAAAATGGGAATTATTTCGAAAGTAGAATCTAATTCATGGGCTGCGCCGATTGTGTGCATAAAAAAGAAATCAAACCAAGTCAGAGTCTGCGTTGATTTTTCGACAGGGTTGAACTCGGTAATTAAGGACTACCATTACCCGTTACCGAGTCCGGAGGAGATTTTTAACAAGCTAAATGGTGGAGTTATATTTTCAAAAATTGACTTATCAGATGCCTATCTCCAAATTCCCGTCGAAGAGGAATGTTCGAAATTACTAGGGATAAACACGCATAGAGGGTTATTCAAGTATAACAGGCTTCCTTTTGGTATTAAAGTGGCACCAGCCATTTTTCAACAAGCTATGGACGTCATGCTGAATGATCTAGACTTTGCGTGCGCTTACTTAGACGACATCATAGTAAGGAGCGAATCGGTCGACGAACATCGAGAGCATCTCAATCAAGTATTTAAAAAGATTCAGGACTTTGGATTTAAAGTCAAAGAGTCAAAGTGCGAATTTGGTTTGGAGGAAATTAAGTATTTAGGGCACATAATCAACAAAAATGGCAGATGTCCAGATCCGGAAAGGTCCATTGCGATTAGAGACATGCCGACGCCCACTAATGTGGCGATGCTACAAAGTTTTCTAGGGCTTGCAAATTATTATCAAGCGTTCATTAAAGGAATGTACAATTTAAGAGCTCCGTTGAATGAACTGCTAAAAAAAGACAAGGCATGGGAATGGACGGTAGAATGTCAGAAAGCCTTTGATGAAATAAAGAAAATGCTTACGTCCGACCTCTTTTTAACCCATTACAATCCAAAACTGGATATTGTAGTGGCAAGTGACGCTAGTTCATACGGGATAGGAGCGTGTATTCAACACATAATGGCAGATGGTTCTAGAAAACCAATTGCACACGCTTCGAGAACTTTGCTTCCAGGAGAAAAAAGTTACTCTCAGATAGAAAAAGGAGGCACTGAGTATCATTATTGCCATACAAAAATTTCACAGGTACATCCACGGCAGACATTTTATCCTTGAAACGGATCATAAACCACTGATCACTATTTTTGGTTCAAAGAAAGGGTTACCCGTTTATACAGCAAATCGTCTGTTAAGATGGGGAACCATTCTTCTCAATTATGATTTTCACATAAAGCACCTATCATCCAAAAAAGATAATTCATGCGGATAGTCTATCAAGACTAGTACCGAGTCAAGAAGAAAGATTCGAAGAATCAATTATTGCAAATATCAGAGCAGATTATGAGGTGAAAAGCATGGTAAACAACATTGTAAGAGAGCTACCGGTTACGCTAAATGAAATTAAAAAGAAGCTGAAAGCGATGATTTCATTTAGGAATTAAAAAGCAAAATGGTAGCAAATGACCAAAAAAGTGCAGGAGATTTTTTCAATAGGTGATGGGGTTTTATTATATGGTGAGAGAGTAGTAATATCAAAGAAGCTGCAGAAAAGAATACTTGGGACTTTCATATGGGTCACCCGGGTATTAATAGAACAAAAAGCTTAATGCGAAGCTTTTTTGTATTGGAAAGGAATGGATGTGGATATCGAAAACATGGTTCATCGATGTAAAGGGGTGTGCGTTAGCAGCTAAGGCACCACCTATAGTACACAAACCATGGCCCAAGACGGATCATCCGTGGATAAGATTACACATTGATTTCGCTGGTTCAGTAGAAGATTTTTACTACTTAATAGTGGTAGATAGTTTTACAAAATGGCCGGAAGTACTACGCTGTAAAAAGCCTACGTCCAATACCACAACAACTTTTTTGCATGAACTATTTGCACGGTTCGGTGTGCCAGAGTGTATTGTGAGTGACAATGGTACACAATTCACTTCTGAAGAATTTAAGGAATTTTGTGAGTTATATCAAATTAACCACATAACGACGCCTCCGTATCATCCGAGGTCTAATGGACTCGCAGAAAGATTTGTCGATACTTTAAAGCGAGCTCTGAAGAAAGCCTCAGGAGTTCCAACGGAAAAGGCGCTTCAGCAATTCTTACAAGTATACAGAATTACGCCAAACCAGAGAACACACTCAAACATGGCACCAGCTGAACTAATGTTCGCTAGGAAAGTTAAGTCAGTGTTTGACAAGCTTTTTGCCAGGAAAAATAGAGTAAAAAATACCATGTATGCAGCGAGAAAAAAGATACACTCCCGGAGAGAAGGTGTTTTTCAAGTGCTATAAAAACAACGTTGAGTTCTGGGAACGAGGCATAGTGGACAAGAGAATCGGTGACCTGATTTACATAATTAAAGGGCCGAAGAATACTCATAAAAGGCACCAAAACCAACTTAAAAAAAGATTACGGTATAGAGCAAGAAGAGTGTATACCGGATGAGGACGAAGATCCCATTGATATAATGTATGATATGTTTCAGGTAGAACCTCCACAGAATACACCTGAACCAAGAAGATCCGGTAGGAAACGGAAGTTGACGGACCCATTGGACGTGAATCCAAAACGGAAAAAATATTAAAATTAGGCAAATGGATCTACAAAGAAATAGCCATAATCATCAACCCATATAGGAAGCCAATTTGAAATCCAAAAGGGATTCCAAGGCTTGGGAGGAGGGTGTTGTGGTACGATACACCTAATTTACATAAGTGGAGTACCGACCATATAAATATGGGTTGGTACCGGGAAGACGGGGGGAGTAAGAAGAGATCGAATCCAGAGACTCTGCCCGACTGCGATTTAGTCAACCCATTCTGCAGGAACAGTCTTCCCAAGAATATACTAAAACTAACTGTAAATATTGTGTACCTTTTCCTTGTTTCAATACATTTTGTTTACGTACATTTTGTGTTGTATTATTATTATTCCATGCTTATCCAAGTTTCAACAGTAATCTTTGAGTTCTTCTGACGCTGTTGTTGCAGTAAATCTGTGAGGGGAATCAGAATCTGGGAACAACCAGGAATGAACCTCCGGTAGTAATTAATGAGGCCTAAGAATCGGCGTAACTGCCGGAGTGAAGTTGGTTGTGAGAAATTTGAAATAGATTCTATTTTCTCAGGTAAGGGCGTTATTCCCTTTTCGTCAATGACGTGTCCCAAAAATTTAAGCGAGGGCACAGCAAAAATACATTTCTCTGCGTTAATCTTAAGGCCAAAATGCTGTAGACGCTGGAAAACTTGTTCAACATGGTGACGATGTTCAGTCTTGTTTCTACTGGCGATCAGGACGTCATCAATATAGGCAAAGGTGAAAGGTAAACCTCTCAGCACTTCGTCTATAAGCCGTTGGAAAGATTGTGCAGCGTTCCTTAAACCAAATGGCATTCTCACAAATTCGTATAAGCCAAAAGGAGTAGTTATTGCTGTTTTATGGATGTCTTCCTTGGCCACTAGTATCTGGTGGAATGCTTTCACCAGATCAAGTTTGGTGAAGACTGTGGCGCCCTGCAGACCCACTGCGAAATCGTGCAAGTGCGGGATGGGGTATTTATCCGGAATTGTAGTAGCATTCAGCTTCCGGAAGTCGCCACAAGGTCTCCAAGCTCCTGAGTCCGGTTTTGGAACCATATGAAGAGGAGATGAGTAAGGACTCGAAGAAGGTCTAATTATACCGAGCTCCAGCATGTGCTGAAACTCGTCTTTCGCCAGTTTATATTTATCAGGCCTCAATCGCCGTGGAGATGAATGCGTGGGTGGGCCCGTAGTATCATTCTGGTGCTCAGCATTGTGACAAACGGTTTCTGTATACCGGAATGGTGTTGTAATTTGAGAATATTTTTGTAACAGATCCTGCATTCCGTTGGCTTCAGGTAGAGTTGCGCTGATACATGTGCTCGTATAAATAGATGCAATTCCTTTCCTTGTAATGTTGGTCGTTTTATCCTCCAAAGAAAGGGAAGACATATTAACGGACAAGTTAAAGTGGGCGAGGAAATCCGCTCCTAGGATTGGGGTTCGAACTTGGGCTATCGTGAATACCCACGGAAAAGATCGCCTAAATCCCAGATTTAGGGTTAAAGAGGTTTCACCATATGTCTGGATTGAAGATCCATTCGCCGCTTGTAACGTATAATCTGTCTTTCTAGTCAACATATTAGGTTTGGCTGGTATTACACTAATTTGTGCCCCAGTGTCCACTAAAAACAAGTATCCGGAGTTCTCATCTCGGATGTAAAAGAGACGACTTTTTGGCATCCCTCCGGCAGCAAACGTCTCTACTTGTTGCCGGGATAGTCGTTTCCAGACTGCTGTGTGTTGTTATCCTTAGCTGCGTTCATGTCGAAGTTACACGGTTTCGTACAATGCCGCGCTTGTTGTCCATATTTAAAATGATACCAACAGGTATTAAATATAGGCCTGCTTCTGGATGTGGAACGTGATCTTCGCCTAGTATGATGTGATGGATGTAGTCGACTAGTGAAATTGTTGGGTGTGCGATTTTGCTGATGCATAGCGGTTTGTAGAGCTTGTAACTGTGAGATAAGCTCGGCTATACAATCTTTAATTTTCGATAACTCTTGTGAGTCACGGACTGAAGAGACAATAGGTTGTAGTGGTGTCGCAGAAGCAGTTCCCGGAGGTTTATTCTCATATATTTTTCCGCGATTTCTGCCAATCGCTGTAGGTCCAAATCGTCCTGGAGTGACACTAATATTTGTGATGTTTGTGGGCTCAGTTTATCCATCCATAGTTTACGGAGGACTGTGTCAGACATGGTATTGTCACCTAGTAAAGCTTTCATCTTTCTAAGCAATTGGGAAGGTTTATAGTGTCCCAAATGAAGGTTGTTAAACAAATCGTGCAACCGACGTTCCTCTGATTCGCCCGTGCGGTATAGTATAGCATCTTTCAAAGTATCATACGGTTTCTCCGCCGGCACTTCACTGAGGAGGTCTGCTACCTCTAATGCTACATCTGAGGGAAGTTTCTCAACTACAAAAGCGTAACGGGCATGTTGAGACGTGACCTTTCTTGCATTAAAAATTGCGTTTAACTGCGCAAACCACACTTGAACGTTGGTGTGGTTGTACGTCGGTAGACTGATGGAAATTGCCGCTTCAATATGTTCGCTGGTAGAATTTTCCATTGCTTTCGTTTAAAACGTGACAACAAAAGTATTTCTCTTATAAAATGCTGTTTTTAAAATATTGCTTTGCACATTTGAACTTCGGGGTCACCAATTTATAGTGGGTCAGCCAATTTGTATTGGTTATAAATAGAAATAAAAACTGACCCTCTACAATTTTTACAATATCAAATGTAACAAAGACAACAACAAGAGAAATAATCAAGTAGAAGAAAATGTGAATTTGTTCAACAATAAATATTTTTTATAAACACAACAAATACATAATATATAGTGCAAAAGTTGATAAACACAATAGAGTTCTTTGGTGTGTGTTACTGAAAGAATTTGAGCTACTGTACTGTATGTGTGAAAATGACAAGGTTTAGTTAGCTATATTTGTTTTTATAGGAAAATTAAACAGATGTTTTTTTTGTGTATTAAATAGAAAAAAGTATTGTTCTTGACTCACTGATTGTTATCGCTCATTAACCAGAGATTCTTGTGGAATGGAATATTTTGTGGGAGTGAGCGTTAAGCCTGGAGATGGTTGACAAAGTTTGTTGTTGTATTGAAGATAAAGTTCGTCTCCTTTGCTGTGTTGATTTCCAATGAAGTCAAGTGAATTGGTTTCAATATTTTAAGTGCCCACTAACCAAGTCGCGTCGAAGTTTCGTTTTTATTAGTTCTCTTGGTCACGTGGGGAGGCTCGTAAACATGTTTACATTTTATGGCGTCAACTAGAGGTCAAAATTTGGGTCGGTACCTTCGGACGTAGTTGACGCCACCTAATTAATATTTTAGAACCAATCAAAATACTTCAGTTGTTATATTTGGCTGGGAGCCTCTATGTGTTTAACTTGCACAAAATTTAAGATTTAAAAAAATGTAGGAATCTGATTCTACACCTCAAGGAAGTGTATTATCTGTCACACTATTTAGTATCAAAATAAATGATATTGTAAAAAACATAAATAGCGGAACAGACTGTGCTTTGTTTGTGGATGACTTCTTGATATATTATAGAGCAAAAAACATGAACCATATAGAAAGATAACTCCAGATCTGCCTCGATAAACTCAATAAATGGACCACAGAGAATGGACTAAGATTCTCAAAAGAAAAAAACGAAATATGTCCATTTCTGCAACCAACGTAAACTCCACCTTGATCCAGTACTGAAACTCGACCACACCGAAATCCCAATTGTAAATCAATATAAATACCTAGGAGTCATTTTTGACTGTAAACTCTCCTTCATTTCACATATTAAATACTTGAGAACAAAATGTAATAAAACAATACAATTACTTAGAACCGTAGCACACACTGACTGGGGAGGAAGCAAAGAAACATTATTGAAATTGTATCGCTCTCTAATCAGATCAAAACTTGATTATAGTTGCTTTATATAGAGAGCAGACAGAAAAAACATATTTAAAAGAACTAAATACCATACACCACCAAGAACTTGGGCTAGCCCTTGGAGCATATAGAACCTCTCCGGTTGAGAGCTTATACACAGAGGCAAGTAAACCATCTCTTAAACTAAGACGTGAAAAACTTGCTCTGCAATATTACCTAAAATTCTCATCATGCCCTCTAAATCCAGCTTTCAGTACTACTTTCCAACCACAGTTCATAGAGCTTTTTCAGCAAAAAGAAACGTCCATCAAACTTTTTGGTTTACGGATCATAGAAGAAAACCAGATAGATACAACACAAATTCACAAATCAATTATATCTCCCCCCCTCCCGGATTATAAATCAACCTAAAGTAATAATAAAATATCCGAAATTCAAAACAAACCCAATAGTATACCAAACTGGAATACTCAAAATAAGAAATAACTACCCAGACTACCGTTATGTATATACAGATGGAGCAAAAGACAAAAATAAAGTTGGATGCACTGCCATACTAAAAGATCATAAGAAGCAGAAAAGAATTACAAACATAACTTCCATATATAAAGTGCTGAAATAATTGCTGTTATTTTGGCATTTGACATAATAACCACAAACCACCACAATAAATTCATTATTTTCACAGGCTCTTTGTCGGCACTTACTGCCTTAAAAATAAAAACGTTACTGATCCTTTAAACACACAAGTATTTAACAGAGTATATCATTTATCAAAAAATAAAGACATAATCTTTCGTTGGATGCCAAGCCACTTTGGTATACCGGGAAATGACCGGGCAGACTCGGAAGCAAAGAAAGCTATGAAAGATAGAATAACAAAAACAAAAATACTGTATATACTGATTATAAAGCGGTAGTGAATAGAATTATCTTTATGAAGCGGCAAAATCATTGGGATAAATACACTAATAACAAACTACAAAACATTAAAGCTACCATCGGAGAATGTAACACAAAATACAAGAATAGAAGCGAACAAGATTTGTTGACCCGCCTTCACAAAGGCCACACCTACATCACCCACCATCATTTACTGGGGGGGGGGGGCGCAGAATCCCCAATATGTGCTACATGTCAAAAAAGATTCACAGTTAAACATATACTGCTTGAGTGTATAAACTTGAATCAAGTGCGGAAACAATATTACCAAACCAGTAATTTGAAGAAACTCTATGGAAATAACACCGTCTAGGATATAGTTTAGGATAAAAGCAATTGGAATGTACTCAAAAATATGAGTGGCCGAATACTACTGCATGTATATGTGTATGTATGTGTATATATATATATATATATATATATATATATATATATATATATATATATATATATATATATGTATGTATGTATTCTACTAAACTATTGTGGATGTTATGGCTATTAGTGCTGGGTTGATTTTTTCGCGTAAACATCCAAAAACTTGTTGAATGCCTTCGTCGCTGAAATAAATTGACAAAGAAAAGACGGAAGGATACAGAGACACTAGGGACATTTTAGGACACTGATTTGATTTCCTTCTTCTGGGTTCCAACGAGCTCTTGTTGGGGAATTTCTTCCCAAACAGTTGGCACGTGTTCACCAGTCAAAGGTCCAACAGAGAAAGAGCTAGATTCTTCTAGTTTATCTTTGGCGCCAGGAAATCTCTTTCTTTTTTTTTTTTTTTTGCACATGCGTAAATTGTCTTTCCTGTCAGAGGACTCCTGGGAGATTTTAATGTTTATTTTATTTTGTACTTTTATTTAATTTTGTATTTCTATTTTATTTTGTATTTTTATTTTATTTTGTACCTTTATTTTATTTTGTATTTTTATTTTATTCCCACACTATACTAAAATCCATTCCAAAGCAGTATCGGCATTAAATGACCCACTGAGGTTGATATGCCGTAAAACAAAATAACCAACCAACCAAACCTTGAGTTCTATTGGTATTTTCCTAGGAAAATGGATTATGGGTTTTACTGTTGTGTCTGGAACTATATGATACGCACAAGTCTTCAAAGCATTCTGGATACATTTCTATTAATTGTGATTTTATTATATAGGGCTGTTGAAGTGGATTGTTGTTGTTTTTTTTTCTTAGATTTTTTCATGACCTATAAAAATTATATTCCTGCCAAATCCTAGTTCTTGTGCCACGCACAATAGAAATAACAAGATAGGGGCAAAATTAGAAAACAAGACAACCACGGCGTAAAATGTTAAAAGGAAAAAACATTTATTTTACAAAAGTACAATACAAGTTTGCACAAAAATTTCTTTTTGAGCGCCTATTAAGGTAGGGTAATAATTTTCGGATAGAATAGAAGGCGGTAAAAAACAAAGGTGCAAACAGCCTTGAGAAAAAAACTACTTTCACTTTCACTTACACCACGTGCGTTTCTGACACAGTATTTTTTTTTAAGTCCCCTTTTGTAATATATTGAGACAAGGTTGAAATAAGGAATTAATGGAGTACACGTGGTGTTCGATTCATGTTTTTATTACATGTCTGAACTGACCGCCATCCGTAATGAAAAAGAGGCTGATATCTCGTTTCTATTTCTGGAGTGACGTCAGTGAAGATTTCTAATAAGAGGAGATAACTTTTATCACTAACTATTACATCTACACCCTTAAGTCTTTTTTTTAATCTAATCTAAGCAACAAAGTTCAATTCTCTGTTTATAAGTTCATTTTCTGTAATGGTTGTACTTTCCGAT